AAATAAAAAAACTGAAGTTGTGCGCTATTTGAACACCTTGCCTGCCTGCAGCACTAAAGGACTCCGTGAGAGACGTCTGTCTCGCCCTAGCAGCATCTGTCCCTGTCCTCCTCTTCAGTTTGCCTCAACATATGCTCGTCATATTCTGTGATATGATTTACTCTGAGGTGTTTGACAAGGTTAGTGATGTTGCCACAACCAAACATGCCAACCCTCGCGATTTTTCCGGGAGAATCCCGGAGCCACCATTCTCCCGAATTTCCACCTGGACAACAAAATTGAAAAACCATATCGCAGAATTCATAGCGCGGCCCAGCCAATTCCAGTTTCCAACAATGGCGGCAGCTGCTTAGTTTTAATATTACTCTTATTTCTCTTTCTGGGTCGCAAAAAAAAAACAACTTTTAACATGTTTTCAGGTGAGAAAGTAGCTGTGTAAACTTCAAATATCTGAGCCGATCGACACATCGTTTTCAAACCCCCGCAGGCTTTCACTACTCGGGTTAAACATGATATATAAGTCACTTTGATAACTTAAAAATGTTATTGTTTGTCTTTTTCAGTGTTTTATTTGTTCGTGAGGAAATCGGTTTGGCTGAGATTAAAGTTATTAGATTAGATCAAATTAAATTTAACTTTATTAATCCCTCGGGTGGGTTCCTCCGGGGTTTTCACACAGCTGAGTAAACGTCAAACAGAAAACTAATTAAAGAAAGTGTGAGACGGTCGAGAGTTTACGCCAGCGCCCGGTTATATTTTAGATAGCAAGGAGCAGACGGCTGAGTTTCACTCCACCGAGGGAGCCTGTGACGTATACCCGGCTTTCTTTAGACCGCGAAGGCCGGGTCCTCAGGTGGAAGCAGCCTCTGAATTTGGACACCCCCGGCTAATAATAACGGTGACATTTAACGTATTTTATCCGATAAATAAACACTGTAAAATGTATTTATCACCCCCCCCCCCCCCCCCCCCCAAACAGCCCTTTTGAATGTCTCCCTAATTCTGAGGTCTCAAGGTTGGGAAAGTACGGCCACAACACCTCACTGTTGGAGCACTTTTTTGCCACATGTATCGCAAACCACGTCTCAGCTGTTAGTGGAGGTAAAATACGTCCGCACAATTACGCTCAGCCATTGTTGTGAGTGTGCGCGCCAAGGGGCTGTGAGACATTTATACAGCCGTATTTCGCACATGACTATGAAAGGCGGAAGAGGAAGTAGTTCCTTTGAATGTAGACAATCCGAATGTTATAGTTTCTTTCCACTGTGTTGCTGTTAATGATAAACTACAAATTTACCCTAAATTACTAAAAATATCGATATTTTAATGTGAGAATCGATTCTAGAACATAAATGACTGGTATCGGAGGAATCAATATTTCAGGATCGATCCGCACATCACTAGCGCTCGACAGTGTAACCTAGGCGGAGTAGTCGAACGCAGATTCACTGAGCGCTCAACACAGACAGCATCGTCAGAAGGAAAGTTGATTAAATAAATTACAAATTTTGTATTGTTGGATACATATGCGTACCGAACCGAAAGCACTGTATCGAACGGTTCAATATTGATACGAATATCGTTGCACCCCTAATATATATATATATATATATGTTTCCCAGAAATTAGGAATTTGGATATGAGGACAGATGAGTATGAAAGCTGGTAAGCAGCATGGCAGGCAGTGCTGGGAGCAAAGTGAATTTTAGTGAATTTTATTGAGGTATCCCTGTGGGTTTAATCCAGCATGACATGTAGAGCGTTGTGAAGCCTACAAGGATTATTTTTGCTGGCCTTAGTTGGCCCACTCTCTCCTCCTCTTTGCCCTACTTTTCACTGATTCATGAAGCAGAGGCAGAACAAGAGATCTCTCTATATATGTATTGCAGGATTGCAATGACAGATGGAGACAGTGGAAAGGCAGAGAGCCATTATTGTACAGAAAGACAGTGCCTTCTACAATAAATGTTAAGAAGGTGCATCAAAACAAGGGTTTAGTAAAACAAAAATTTGCCATTAATAAGAGTAATTCACAGAGATTATACATCTCAGAGAAAACAATTCGTTCTAATTTAAACAGGATGTAACTAGATTGAATATGCAGTAGTTCCAGCATATTGTAGTCACTTAGTTGCATTCAAGCTGCTGAGACTGAGCTGCCATAGTGAGTGTCTAGTCACGAAATGAGGGCAACATATACTAATGCACCCCCACCCTCACAAACCCATGATGTCCCCATTTCCCCTGTCTATCTCCATCTCCCATCAGTAGCTCCAGCCCATGCTAGCCTGTATTTAAATGCTCTATTGCAGCACTGCTCTTCACAATTAACAGACATGTTAAATTGTGACTTCTTTCTCTCTAATTTTGAAAGAAGGTTTGCAAGTTATAAAAGAGGCTGTCAGACTGAGACAATTTGATTCAAGCAGGAGATACAATGGCAAATTCAAAGAGCCACTATGGATGTAGTCTAATCTTTTCTCTGCTGCTGCTGCCATCATCATCCGTCATCATTTCTGCTACACTGGCAGGGCTAGGGGCCAGGACTCTACTCTTTGGGTTTTTGGGGAATGATGCTAACGCCTCAGATAACAGGCAACCCACCCGCAGTAGATTTGCCCGGTGTGAGGTCTCACAGCAAGCTATCAAATACAGCGCATTTCTCAGCTTTTGACAAAATGCTATACGTCGCCAGGTGTATAGCACAGTATCACCTTAAAGCACTTGTTGCAGGCTGCTGAGTTTGCATCTTTTGCTGTGAAGTACAGCCAGACTTTGACCCCTTCGCTTTGGGCATTTTTAATCTGTAGCTCTGCTCTAAAAGAACGTACGTACCTGGACCCGCCTACTATGCTCGCAAAGGTAAAATGATTGGCTGGAATCCAAAGTGTATGACATCTCAGGAAAAAAAGCACAGAAATAAAGCACTGAAATGTGTGCTGCTTTTCGGTCTGGTTACTACCGTTTATGCCATAATGGCACCGGGTACCGGTACCCATCCCTAGTCACATACTAATTACGTAACAGGATGCTCGTCACTTTGCTATAAAGACGACCACACATATTAGGTCGTACTCCATTATAATGGAAAACCTGTTGATCTGAGTTGAGTTGTGGCGAGTCGATCCGATGCTCTACTAACGGAAAAGGGGCTTTTACTCTTCTCCACCCTTCTTGGCTGAGTCTGTGGGAATTGGTTGCAGGTCAGCGCTCATGGCGTCTATTCTTCCTATTTAGCGGCGGCTGTGACACCTGGCTTGCCGCTTCTTCCCAACTCCTCATTAATCACTATTGATACTAATAGAAAGCGAGCAGCCAGAAAATGGGACATTTGAATGCAACACTGGGTGCTTACATTTTAATCTGACGCTGGACAAATACAAGACTTATTCTTCTTTTCTTTCTTTTTCTTTTCTTTCGAACAATTAAAATTTCAACAAAACAAACACAGGAAATGGAAAGCATAAGAAATTTCCAGCAAATGGATCCATGAAGCAAAAACAGAAGGTGTATCAAAGGAAGAAGCAGTGGCTTATCGGGTCCTGTCCCTAAATTTAACTACAATTTTGTAACCAAAATGGTCATGCATACAAACACATACACATACATCTGTCTATAGACAATTATACCCTGGACCCCCAGAGGGTTAAATATTTTTTTAAAGTAATGCAACAGTTACTTTTCAAGTAATTAATTACTTTTGGAATCGTGTAACTCAGTTACTTACTCAGTTACTTTTTTGAAGAAGTAACTAGTAACTATAATTAATTACTTTTTCAAAGTAACTTGCCCAACACTGGTCATCGCTATCTGTTGAAATTTGTTTTTACATTTATTAACTATTTCTAGTTAATAATAAATAATTATTAACTTTCTTCTACAACTTCCAGTTGGATTGAATTAGGATTTTCTGGTCACAGTCCTCACCCACACTGTTCTCCTCAAGCAGGGTATTTTTTTAATTTCCTTTGCCAGTTTTGGACCCACACTGACAACGAAATCATTACCTGTTATCATTATCTGTTAACCACTTCATTCCTATTTGTAATAACCATATTTTTTCTCTGAAAAAGTCTGGGTAATTAGCTTTGGTTTGTTTGTTTATAATAGTCCATGTACCTTTTGTGTTATTCTTTCGATCCTCTGGCATTTTATTATAATGCTCCTTATTACATTATTGACGGCTAAACACAGTGCAAAGAAAAGAAAACAAAAGGGAAATAAAGACTAACCTAAAAAAATGGTAAAACAACTAAAACCTGAAAACGTGATGAGCTGAGACATAAAACATAAATATGGACAAAGACAGTTAAATGTGGGATAACTGAGCTTGACGTATGACAAACAGATGATCCAACAACAAACAAAGGGAAACTAATACAATATATACACAAACAGTAACGAGGGAGGACAGGAGAGAAACACAACTGGACCTAATCTGACATAACAAGACAGGGAGGAAGCAAAACTGTAACACTAACACAGGACACGGGATGATAAAAATGAAACAGTAAGCAAGACAAATACGGAGGACGAAGACACACGAGCTTAATACTGAGATTGTGGGAGAAACTGACATGGGGGCATGACTGACTTGGGAGACAGAGCGGATACATGGAACACGGAGACAAGAGGAACAAAATGAGTAATGTGGAACACAGGGAAAGTACTTTGGAAGTACTTTGGTTGTTTCACACTGGTCTAAAGCTAACGTCTGATCACTAGGTGACATTCCAGGCTCTGGTTTAAACCTCTGATGTATTAACTACCAGAATATATATCAGTCATTAGTGCTCTGTGTCTCACTGGTGGTTCTTTATCTCGTAGGCCATCCACTTCAGTTATTTTACTGTTTGTCATTTGAAGTCACTGAATGTTGCTCACTACATCACTGCAAATCATTTCCAGTGTGAACAGAGCTCAACACACACAGTATTTTATTGCAGTGTAACTTAATTCTAATTCTAACGCCAGGCTTTTTGGTTTTTGATTATCTCCAGAGGTACTAATGGATTCAACAACAGCAACAGCAGAACTGGGCTGGACCACCTACCCATCTCAAGGGGTGAGTAGAAAAATCAACACACTAGGAACAATGTACACAGTGTAGATAAGCAGTCAAAAGTTTGGACACACCTTGTCATTTAATGGTTTTTCTTTATTTTTACTACTTTCTACAATGTGGAGGCAAACTGAAGACATCAAATATATGAAGTCAGATATATAAAATTATGTAGCAAAGAAAAACTGGTAAATAACTCTAAATGTGTTTTATATCACAGATTCCTCAAAGTAGCCGCCCTTTGCTTTGTTGACAGCACTGCATACCCTCGGCCTTCTCTCAGTGAGCTTCATGCTGTAGTCACCTGAATGGTTTCACTTCACAGGTGTGCCTGTCAGGGTTCATTTATTGCCTTCTTAATGGGGTTGGGACCATCAGTTGTGTTGTGCAGCAGTCAGATTGGTACACAGCTGACAGCCCTATTTGACAACTGTTAGAATTCATATTATGGCAAGAACCAATCAGCTAACTAAAGAGCAGTGTTGGGAAGGTTACTTTTAAAATGTATTCCATTACAGAATACAGAATACATGCCCCAAAATTTATTCTGTAACGTATTCCGTTACGTTACTCAATGACAGTAACGTATTCTGAATACTTTGGATTACTCACTATATTATCATGCTTTTTACAACAACGTGAATGTACTATTGCTGTGATTTATTACTATTACTGAAGGTCCGCGACTCCGAACTGTAGTAAAGGGACCTCTGACTAATACGGGGTCCCTGTCGGCTCCTAGCCGAAAAATAGCTTTACTTTGTTGTCTGGGTCAACTTTTATTGCGAGAGACAGAGAGAGGCGTTGAAAGGCTGCTCCAACGGAACTTATTGTTTCGGAGGAAAACACGAACACGGTGTACAGTCAAGTTTTAATAGCTTACTTACAACTGGGCTCGTCAGGCACTCTTCTTGGCTGAAGTGGTTATTATTATATTTACATGCTTCCAGCTCCCGTTTTTCCTCGATGACAACTCGTACCTTTCCACTGCCCTTTTTCTCCCTCCTCGCGCTCACAGACCCATAACGTGTATGGCAGTCCATTCTCCCTGCAGCACGGACTACACTGCCCATGATGCTACATTCTTTAGAGCTATGCTTGTAGCATTCTGCCTGTTAGCTTAGCACAACAACAACAACAACGAAAAGGCGCTCTCTCACCCAGGAAGCACACAGTCGCAGAGAGAGAGAGAGAGAGCGTCGCCCTGTAACCATGGCAACCGTAACGCTGCCGCCTGGAACAACAGAACATAGCTGTCAAACAAAACCCAAACAGTCCTGACCCACCACAATATGAAACAGGAGAGTACCGCAGTGTAATCCATTTATTTCAACAAAGTAACTGTATTCTAAATACCACCTTTTTAAACGGTAACTGTAACGGAATACAGTTACTCATATTTTGTATTTTAAATACGTAACGGCGGTACATGTATTCCATTACTCCCCAACACTGCTAAAGAGAAACACCAGTCCATCATTACTTCAAGAACTGAAGGTCAGTCAGTCCAGAAAACTGCTAAAACTTTGATTGTGTCCCCAAGTGCTGTCGCAAAAACTGCATTTCTTCTCACTAGAAGTGCTACACCGAAACTGTCTTACATGAGGACCACCCCAGGAAAGGAAGACCAAGAGTCACCTCTGCTGCTGAGGATACATTCATCCGAGTCACCAGCCTCAGAAATCACAAGTTCACAGCACCTCAGATTCCAGTAGCAGACACATCTCTACATCAGCTGTTCAGAGCAGATTGTGTGAATCAGGCCTTTATGGTCAAGACAAAAGGACCAACAAGTGCTCAGCATCTCTGGGAACTCCTTCAAGACTGTTGGAAAACCACTTCAGGTGACAACCTCATGAAGCTCATGGAGAAAATGCCAAGAGTGTGCAAAGCAGGAATCAAAGCCAAAGGGGCTGTTTGGAAGAATCTAAAATATAACACATGTTTTGAGTTGTTTCACACTTTTTTGTTTACTAAATAATTTCATATGTTTATTCATAGTTTTGTGTTCATTCATAGTTTTGATGCCTTCTGTGAGAATCTACAATGTAAACAGTCATGAAAATAAACAAAAAACACCATTAAATGACAGCACCTGGAAAATATGCACATGGTAGCCCACTTACGTGGGTCTAACCTTTTTTTAATTTTATACTTTAAACTGGAGGTCAAACATATGCCATTGGTCCAGAATCAGCTTTCTGAAGAATCAAGTTCAGCACACTGTGTAGAAGTAATACTTCATGTTTATCAGTAAAGTAGATTAATATTCTTGTGCTGGTATCCAGTGATACCATCATTACTGCACAATCTTTAAAACTGCATCTTTATTAAATATATTTGATGTTTGATGACATGAAAGTTTTAAGTGTGAAGAATATGAAAAGTATGAGATCAGGAAGGGGGGAAATACTTTTTCACTGTCCAAAAAATTCCAAACCAAGCTTTAAAAGTTGTAGAATTTAAGTCAGTTTTTTAAGTCAATAATTTAAGTTAATTTACGTCACCTTGCTTGCTACATCCAAATATTGATAGCATGCTGGTATTGGTATCGGATCAATGCTAACATGGCTGGATCAATACTTTGTTTCTGTCCTCCAAACTCAGTATGTAGCTGATACTCAATTGCGTTTAATAATTAATTTTTTTCTGCAAATGAAAAAATATATCTCAAACATGCCCTGTGAAAAATATCTGAACCTTTATCTGCTGACTGTCACATCTATGTTATTTAACCAAACTTAAACAATAGAAGTTGACCCAATGTGCCATAGAGATGGGGCATTTGATTTCCAGATCTCCAAAAATCCCAGTTTCAAAATATACGAAAAGCACAAAAGTGTGTTTTACTCTATTAACTACTTATTATGGAAAATAAAAATCACAGGGATTTAGTGGTGATTAACATGGGTTGCAAACTTCTGATGAGTGACTTGTAAGTGACTGCTCTCCCCTCTATAAGCTGCCTTTGTGGGTTAAAAGTATCTGTGTTGGTATCAGCAGTACTGGCTGACTCCACTAGCTTCTTCTGCTTTTGGATTGTTCCAAGTTGCCTTCAATGTTTTAGTGTTTGCATGTTTGTCACTTTATCAGTAGCTCTGTTTCTTGGCTCTCTTCTAGTGGGAAGAAGTTAGTGGATACGATGAAAATATGAACACCATCCGAACATACCAGGTGTGCAATATCTTTAATAGCAGCCAAAACAACTGGGTCCGGACCAAATACATCCGTCGCCGTGGTGCTCAGCGTATCCATGTCCAGATGAAATTTTCAGTACGGGACTGTAGTTCCATACCCAATGTCCCTGGCTCCTGCAAGGAGACCTTCAACCTCTATTTTTTTGAATCTGACTTGGATAAGGCCACTAAATTATACCCACCCTGGATGGAAAACCCATGGGTGAAAGTGGACACTATTGCAGCTGACGAGAGCTTCTCTCAGGTCGATCTCGGTGGCCGCATCATGAAGATCAACAGTGAAGTTCGAAGCTTTGGACCTGTTTCCCACAATGGCTTCTATCTTGCTTTCCAGGATTACGGTGCCTGCATGTCACTCATTGCTGTCCGAGTCTTCTACAGGAAATGTCCCCATATAATCCAGAATGGAGCGGTTTTCCCTGAGACACTGTCAGGAGCAGAGAGCACCTCTCTTGTGGCAGCCAGAGGAGTGTGTGTTCCTAATGGGGAGGAGGTGGATGTACCCATCAAGCTGTACTGTAATGGGGATGGGGAGTGGATGGTACCTATTGGTCGCTGTATGTGTAAAGCTGGATACGAGGCTGTGGCGAATGGTACAGTCTGCAAAGGTAAGAAGGAATGTGTGAATGAGTTCTTATGAGATGTGCCTCACTAGACTGTTCTATGGCTGTGCCCTATCATATCGCTTGCAGTAACACCAATGTAAATTTTACATCAAATGTCAAATTACTACATCGTTGTGTTTTTAGCATCTAAAATTTAGCTACTTCAAACAGCTCCAGCAAATCACAATACTTTGCAAAATATGAAAACTGTTCTTGCTAAAGGTGGAAAGATGAGTGTTTCACACACATGAGATAAAAAATGCAGTTGCATCTCCTCCAGCTACGAAGGACGAGATGCTGATCTGCAACCCAAACGTAAACCAATGGCTCAACTTGGTCGAACTTGCTAGTTGTGCTCCATAATGTCAGGAGGAGCAACAAATAAAACAAAAAAGAAGAAGAAAATAACGAAACAAACTGAAGTCACTATCACAATTTTTCTTGAAATATTGTGATATAATGTTGAGCCCATCATGCCCACCCTGGCTCTGTTCACAGATGAAGAGCAGCAAGAATAAACAAATAGTTTTATATGCATAGTGATGATGTTAGTGCATCTTGAAATGAACCGGCTTAAAGTAACTTAAGTGCAACGTTTTTCATTCATTCTGTAATCAAATGTATATATACAGACAAAAGGTACTTTATTTTAGCTGTACAACAGATTGTCACCAGAGCAACACTGTGTAAGATAATGTAAACTACACAGTTCCCCACCTGAACTCTGAATGTGCTTGAACTGCCCAATAATCTGAGATTAGAATATTTACACTACACTACTTCTACAGAAATTCTTAAACAGTACATGAAGGATTTTCGTTTATCCAATGCTTAGTGTTCACATCACCCCACTCGTAAGGATTAAAACTTTTTTTCACCTGTACACTACTATTCTTGCGTAGACTTTTAGTTTGTAGCCCCATTATGATCGATATCCCAGACCGTCAGACATTCATCACAGATTCATTCTATTAGTATCAGTGGTCATGCACCAGTGTCTTTCTCTCTGACAAAGAAAGTGACACCACTAATTAGGAATGGGAAGTTAAATAAATCCTTATGTAAAGAATAAGATTTCATTATTATTTTCTAAAGGGAGTAGGCAATTTACTTAAAAAATAGTGGCCTCTTTAGGAAGCAGGAAATGTAGTAATGTGGCAGAAAATAATATATTGCTGTTCACATAAGAAAAATAAAGAAAGAATACCTTTATTAGAATTGGAAGAAAAAATTACAAGTCCATTAAATCATTAGAAGCTGCCTATGTTGCCTCAGACTAGGACAGTGCCCTGGTCAGCCTTTGTGGAAATGGTGCACAGTGGCACTGCTTCAGGATATTACACTGCATAATTCACCACTAATACAAAGTGATATAAATAAAATTGAATTGAATTGAATTGATATTCTCGTGCATTCCGGTGAAGTGGCTCAATGAAATCCAATGCCAATATGCTCAGATGAGACCTCCATGCAAGGTATTTTCCAAAGGCACTTCTGGGATAGCCGCCTGGTTCCCACATTCTCCCTGATGCCTGGCCAATAAAAATGGGCCATGAGCTGTTCCAGAGTTTTGTCATATTTCCCTGCCATGAGGTTATGATAAGCTATCTTGAAAATAATTTCTCTGCAGCTCTTTGTGACCAACAGCTGGCTGCATTTCTCTTCCATGCAAGTTTCACAATTCACTCGATACAGTCTGCCTCTAATCAACACAAAATGCAGGTTGGTCAGCCCTATGTGGAGTAAATTATTGGAGTAGGCGGGGCCTCCCGAGAAGATGCTGTCTCCTCCTCCCCAGAGTCAGCTTCAGACAACCTCACGTTACCTGACTGTAGTACAAACACTCCACCTTCCTGTGGGTTGTGAACACATCTGCACATTCCAGCCAATCTGTTCCCAGAATGAAGGGATGCGTCAGATGTGACCTAACCACCATCTTGACTCTGTGTGCACCTGTATTTAATCTTTAGCAGTACTGTGGGATATTTGTGTATGTCCCCATGCACACACCTCCTCATCAGACCGACATCTTCCACTGCTCCCTCCGATCCTGGCAGTAATGCCAGTGAGAAACCAGCCCTAGCAACCAGACTCTTCAACATCCTTGTCTGGTGCTTGGACTGGTCCTGCAGCTAGTCCAACTGTCAGTGATGCACCATTGCCTGCTCCTGACACATGATTGCCACCAGTTAGGCCACAATCCGAGCCAGTGTCTTGACTTGTTGAGTTAGTCACTGGTCTGACTGACGTGACCATGACAATAAAAATATAGAAAAAGCATGGCAAAACACATGAAAACATTGCCATTTTAGCATAACTCTGTCGTACTTACTCACTTGCTCTCAACCGTTGCCTTCACTGCTGTGACACGGTGCTTGAGATGACTGACTCCAATAATAACTTTAATATCACTGAAGAGAGCAGAGTTGCTGTTTTCGGAAATTTAGAATTCTTCAGATTGTGCAAACTGTTCAAGAGTTATGGCAGTTTAAAAATAAGCAAAAACCTGTTGGTGGGAACTGGTTATAAGCGTTAATGGGTTAACAACATCATTGACGCCGAAGAAGACATCTAGGGTGTACGTCTTGTGTTCTGCTCTTTTCTACAACGTTCATTGTGTGCAATGCAGACAGTGCCCTGCCGAGCTGAATAGGACAGATGAGGGGGTGTCAAGAGAGGTGGGACTAAAAGAGATTAAAGTTCCCCTGGTTTACCTCTCATTACATCAGAGAGAAAGTAAAAGCGTAAAAGGGTTTAATATCGAGTCTTATATGTTAAAAGTGATACAGAGTGCTAAAAATAGAGTTTACCTATATGAGAGAAGTGGTATTAAGTATGTTGTAATTGTTAAACACAGAATCATAATTTATAAGTGATTTTGCTAATAGTTAATCTTTTTTAATTCTTAATAACAATCAGAATGTAATCAGGTATAAGTTTAACCAATATAACAAATAAGAAAATAAAAACTATGAAATGATTCTACTAACACGTCTCTCACTGAGATTCCATATGGAGTGACTTATTTGTGCAAAGATGGCCTTGGAGGCTGTGAGAGTGTGTAAGAAGGAAAATTGAGAATACCAGGACTGACAAACACAGAGTTGTGTTTGTCAGTCTTTTATTTCTGTAAAGAGAAAAAGTGAGAAAAAATATTTGTGTGTAACCGAGTTGAAAAGAAATCATATTAGAGTGGATATTCATGTGATTGAGACAACGATAAATCCTGTTGAAGTAAAATAGCATAAACTAAACTAAAGACATGACAGAAAGTATATTCATATTTGATTTAATGTTCATATGTAGTGAAATTATGTACAACAAAGACAAGAAGATGTGATGAGGGAGGGGAAAGATGAGGACCAGGTATACCAAGTATAAAAGTTTTGTGCAGAAGAGATAAGTTGTTCATTGCTTTGTCTCCTGCGAGACGAGCACTACAGATAATTGGATCTAAGATTTTACAGTTGGAAGTTTAAGCAGAGATACCAGAAGGATCAACCACTGCCAAACTGTGGACTTTTTCTCTGCTCATTAGATTCAAGAGGATTTGAATTTCCAGGGGATGCTTGTTGGAGTATATCAACACAGAACACAGAGATAAGTGCATCTTCAGGCCAGGGTGTGCCTTTTCTTTCATTAGTCTCTCTCCTCTCAAGATCATTATTAAAATCAGCATTAACTCAACGCAGGTCAAAGAGATAAGTAGAATTCAATCGATTTGATTTTGTGATCAATATTATTTGCTTTGCTTTTGCTTTTACCATTACTGTTTATGAAACAGTAATGGTAAAGACATGCATATCACTCAAAGAATCCTTACAGGTTACTCTAACCTTAAAATGAACGGATCCTTGGGCCCACTTTTTCAGACCACTAAATTTTACCCAGTTAATAAAGATTTAGAGGAGAGCTGGTAATAATGGGTGTGACTGAGAGGAGATTTGAGCAGAATGCCATTCTGACAAGCACGCCTTCAGAGGAAGCAGGATCAACATCTGCAAGGTGGAGTAGCAGTTGGAGCTAGGCAAGTCTCCTCCATGGCTCCATCCAAGCTCTGCATAGCCTAATCAGAGATTAGTACTTTTTAAACAGAAAAGAACCTTTATATATTGGGAAGGCCCGGTTGGGATCCAACAAAAGTAAACATGTTGCCTCAGAGCTGCAGCCACAATGTATTGATTGAAGATTCAAGAAGTTTATTGTCATGTACACCGCAAAACACAAGTGGTTACACAGCACAATTAAATTCTTACTTTGCAGGTTCCCTTCACACGACTAAAAGAAAGTAATAATAAATAAAATAGTAAAACAGTGCTTTGTAGATCTTGTAGCTTATATGTGGGTGTAAACTTGCAACACTATCACAGTGATAATATATGCAGAGTATGCAATATAAAGGTGTATATGTTGATATATGTATAAAAATTGCAAATTTACAGGCTAATATTAATGTACAGAATTGCTATTTTACAGGTTAGGTGTAAGTACAGCTGTATTATGCTGTGTATAAGTGTGTGTGTGTGGGGGGGGGGGGTCTGTTTAGGTCAAAAGTGTGATTTCAGAGTATCATTATTTATTTAACAAAACCTAAGCCAAAATGCAGAAGCAATGTGTTAAAAACTAAGAACACTCTGTGATTGAAAAACCTTTAGATTTGCTTACTATTTGCTTGGTCGTAGCCTTCAGTTTTAATTATTATAGAAATGTTACAGATGTTACAGTCATAAAAAAGGGATGGATGTCTACCAACTGGAAGGCTGGTGAATCGATCCGTTGTCCTTGTGTCAAAGTATCCTCAGTTGCCCTCGATGTGAATGTTAGATAGACGTGCTTGCATATAGATCAAAGATCTGTATGAATGTCTTTCAGGGGAAGGGACTGACAAAAAACCCTTTCATATCAGAAGAGAGACGTAGCTGACAGAGAGCAAACACCTGAGCGAATCATCACAGTGTGATTGGATGAGTGAGACTTGTGGTGAGAAAGCATTTTGAGTGCTC